GTTGATAATTATAATGAGATTACAGGCGATTTGCCTATGAAAGGATGTATGAGATCACGCTTTTTCGAAGGGGGGGGTAATGTGATAGAACAGATAGCTCTCTTTTGTCTATTGGTTTATACTATATATATAGTATGATATGACGGCTCTTTTGGACCTTCCTTTCACAGTTTAGAGTCTTAGCTTTATAGCTCTAGACCTAGGCATCTTACGCCTAGGACTCTTTCACCCTTTTTGGCCTAGCTCTTATAGCTTCCAATACCTGTATATATAGTCCTCCTTTTAGCATCCTACATAGCTCTTCACTTGTAGATTCTAAGTACACAATCGGAGTCCTGTTTATACCCTTTTGGTCACAATTCTATAGCATTACCCAATACCCTAATTTACGAGTATACATTAATACTCTAGTCTATACCAAACCGTAGTGTATTAATAAATAATAAGCTAACTTATCGGCCAATAAACTAGCTTATTGTGAAATATACATAGTTCATTTCGGAACGAGTTTGTTGTGCAATGTCCTGGAACACATGGCCTTTCAAATAGTTTATTCTCTCAATCCTTCTTGTCTCAGAGTTCGCAACTTGAAATTGTATCTTACCAACCAACCGCCTGCTACCACTGGCTAGCATACGAATACCAATACATACGCGCCAAGATTCCCCCCTTGGTTGGCTTGGTCACCTTCGATGTATTGAATTATGTTGATATGGCGAAGAGTAAGGCAGTCATTTTATAGCTTTAATGCTCATAAATTATTACAGAAGTAGAAGTATGTCTAGCCAAGTTCCTCAATCCAAGCAAGTTCCAAGCAATATCCAGTAAATCATGCCTTCGCAGCCCCCAGCCAATACATATCATACATTATGCTAGCTGTACCCAGCAAAGAATCACCCTTTAAGTACTTCTAATAGCCAAGTGCTATATCTCTTCCACACACTTTTCCATCAGATACTATCACAGACACTTTACCCCAAGCAATGTCAAGCTTCAGGTTATCTCGTGAGACCCATCCTACGCCAAGATGCATCCATATCCTCAGCCAGTTTGAGAAAATCTTCATTCTCCAAGTTCTCGATTATGAAATCATTGAGCATTTTATGACGTACATCATCGGGCATATCGCTATAACTTGGCGGCAAAGAAACCCGTGAGCGAGGACTGTACCTTGATACAAACAAGTCCAAATCATTCTGTAATATTGGTGGCGGCTCAAAAGCTGTTGGCAAGTTTGACAGAGCTTCTGCAACAGAAGTACTCTGCCCTAGTTTAAGAGCTGCTGTATGATCTCGACCTGACAGAGTTTGAGTTTGTGTAGATCTGTCTACCATTTTTGGAATCATGGGCTTATCTGGAAGGGTGGCTACAGGTCGCTGTCTAGCCGTGACTTCTATCGACTGCAGCTTTGATGGTAGTGATGCACGTGGTGCGATAACACTCTTTGTCACAAGAGAAGACGGCTCTTCCGTTTGTATGGGTACATCAAGACCATCACCTGATGAGCGAATTATTGGAGGTACAGCTCTAGTTGAGAAGTCATTTATTGCTGGTAAATGTAGAGTACCCTTTCTACTTGCGACGCGCCTCCCTGTTGGCTTTTTAGCAGGCGTGGAAATCTCCTTTGGTGGATTTGCATCAAGAAATTCTTTAAGTGGTCTCTTTCGCTGGTCCAAAGCTTGAACAAGTAGATTGGTGTCCTCGGCGATAGATACAGATTCCAAAGGACATTTTACTGTAGCGAACGGTAATTGTCGCTTTGGTGGTATGGGAGGGTTAGAGCAAGAATCATGCTCAGTTGGGAGGGATACTGGGCGTGTTCCAAGTGCACTGAAGGTAGAATACTCAGTCAAACGAGGTAATGGATAATATTCGAATGAGCTAAGATTACGTGGCATAGTAGTAGTTCCATGTCCATTGTATATAGAATAATCTGTACCATTATCCGAACAAGATGACGTCAGCCCGTTGGGCAAGCAATCTTTTGTATGTGTTTCGAAAAAGGGAGATGAAGAGAAACGCGGTTGCGATTCTTCAGGCTTCGACAACAAAACTCGGTTCATGTATGTATCGTGACTCAGAGGTATGTCGTTTGGTGAGGGTACTACCCAGTTCGAAGATTGTATTTCGCGTGGCTGTAAGAAGTTAGTCACAAAGTTAATGAATGCATCGCAAATGAAACACACCTCTTTCTCGAGTTGAGATGCGTACACTGATTGTGCTCTTTTAAGCGCTTCGACATATGATTTAGATTGGGGCATGAATGAAGATATGGACATGGCGGATTGTGGCCTGTTCAAGAGGTGATTTTCGGATCGGGATGCATACGAGCTGCTTGATCTTTGAGGTATAGAACTGGCTGAGTCTGGTCGCATTGGAACTTTGAATTCGGTGTTTTGAGATGAAGAGAGATAACTTGTAGTCGGAGTAGAAGATATCATAGATATACCCGAAGATGTCGAGTTTACAGTTGAGGGACGGGGTTGCATAGCAGGCCCCGACGGTGCACTGTCGGTTGCCGCCAAACCTAGGTTTGTCAAAACACTGACAATCTGATTGAAGCCTGAGTCATCACGAAACCTGAATTGTAACCTACGAACCTGAAGAAGCGATATGAGCCAGCGTGCAAGACAGAAATAGAATGGCAGAGCTTACATCATGAAACTTTGGGTAGCGCAGTGCAAGGAGTGGAGGCTTAACCACGACTCTAACCGGAATTTCGATACCTGGTGATGAGATGAAGTTTTTGAAGATTCTTGCGATATCCTCTAAATTCTGTTCCTCCTTGAAAATTGTTACAAAAATTGAATATCAACCATTTGGAATAGTTGCGACATACCAGATATTCAGCGCCTGCCACCACTTTCATCACCAAGTCACTTCTTTGCTGGCCTTGGGGATCCCCCACTTGCACCCTTTGGATCACAAGTTCGAGGTCATTCCTCGAATAATGAGTCCAATGGGAACCTGTGGTGCTGCCTTGATGAGTTAAAGAACATGAAAACTTGACAAGAGGAACAACGATGGTTGAACTTCGTGGTGGTTGTGGGACATTGTGATGAGATTCTTGAGAGAAGAATTGAGACATTCTCAATCGAAAATTTCACTATAGAGCAAAATATACTTGGAAAGAATGAACCGATATGAATTTTATAGAGAGAAAATTAAAGAAAGTTTGAGAAAAGGATGGGATAGAAAATGATGAGATAGAAATGATCAATAAAATAAGAGACGAGAGATACTGCAGAAGTAAGTCAGTCAATAATGACTGTCAGTTTGTGATCAATATTAAGTGATAGTAATGTTAAGGTGATAGTAATTTTATCATCACTGTCGCTGCATTGGGTGTCGTTCGTTGTTTGTTGAAGGCATTCAAAATACTCGCCCCTTCATACCAAATTCTCAAGTATCTCTAGGGATTTATGAGAGTGAAGAGAGTGAAGAATGTGAAGAATGTAAGAGGTGTAAAATGTGTGCAAAAAGTGAAGAAAAGTGAAGGAAAGTGAAAGAATTTGGGAATAGCTTCATAAGCCAGACTTTGGTCACGCTAAGTCTTGCACTCACGTGTGTCTGACATAAAATGATGCCTTAATTTTCGGGCAAAGTATTTTAGTAGTAACCGGAGCTTCACATAATCTAACGACCGATCGCGTCGCCGTCGCAATTTCTACGCGTTGGTTTGTTCGTCGCATCAAACGAAGCTTTCCAGATAACCATTGGATCACCATAACCATCGCATGGCAGGATATTACAATGGCGCCCCCAAGAGTTGTTCACCACGATACCTCAATCGTTCATAGTCCTGAATATGAGGATTTTATTGCAAGAGTCAGGTCCTATCATGAAAAGAGAGGAACACATTTCGACGCTGAACCACGAGTCGGAACTAAGAGTATCGACCTTCTACATCTCTACAATACTGTAATTGAGCGCGGCGGTTATGATAAAGTCAGTGATGAAAAGCTTGCCTGGAGAAAGCTCGGTGCAGATTTTAATCTGGGAGCCAATAATTTACCTGCGCTCGCATTCAGTCTCAAAACAACTTATTACAAATACTTAGCCGCATATGAGATCTCGACATTCCATGGCAAGGTGCCGCCTCCTCGTGAAATACTAGAAGATACAACCGCCAAGGGAGGGGGACTTCTCACTCGGACCATGGACAATTTCAGACCCTCCATTCGCAGAGATACAGGCATACTTGGTACTGAAAATTCCGAGGCTTCTGGCGACGATGGTACACCTGTGCGCGATAGAAATGGAAGTGAAGAAACACCAGGCTCCGGAGGCAGAATGTCTCGAGGCCTGCGACAAGCTCCCCCACAGCGAGTGTTATTTCAACCTGATACTCAACCATCTAGACAAGTACGACAACATCCCTCCGCGACTTCCCATCCACCTCCAACCCCACAGCATCACTTACCTCAACAGCAAACGCCATCGCATTCACATCAATATCATATACCACGAGTCGGCGGCCCCTACTCATATAATCCTCCCTCTGCTACCGAAAACATGTCACTCGCAGTAGCAAATTACGAACCTCGACTCCAAATGCCATTGACACTCCGTCCTATAATAACCCCAGGAAACAACCCCATCGAATTTGCGCGACGTCAAAGAGCTTTGAAGGATGCAGCTGCAGCCGCAGAAGGTGCCAAAAATAGCGTTATTCCCAAAGGGATGATGTTGCCTGGCAGTAAGTGGTTTGGTTTTCTCTCGGGACTTTCTTCCCCTCTCAAGAGTGTCTACTAACACATTATAAAGCTGGCTTTGACGGTCCTAATATTTACGTTCGGTGCCTCTGTTCTTTGAGGTCAGGTATCAAAGCAGAGCAAGATTACGCTCTACACCATTTGGTTAAGATCTCAATGGAGCGAGGTGATAAATACAAATTCGAGGGGTTTCCGGGTCTGGCTGAAGCCTTGATCGAGAAAATGCTCGAAGTCAGTTCATTGTTTTACGATGTCCATTGGCGTATATCCTACACGGAAGATGGCGAAATGGTCTCGACCACTGACACAATCAATGGTTTAGAAGGCACACCAGATATATTGGAAAGAATCAAGCACTTAACTAAGCTGCAAGTCGACGATAACATCCAGACCGAGGAATTTAGTGACAAACTTCTTCAGATCAACGAAGCAGCATTGACTATGAGAAACATGGTAATGTTAGAGGAGAATGCTTTTTACGTATCAGAACTTGCACCTCTACGAGATTTCCTAAGCATTGCCTTGAACCTTCCCGACTCTGATACTGTTGTAGAGTTAAAACACTACGCTTTAGACATTGCCGAGCAGCTTACCAAGTATCTTCATTTCGAGGTTGGAGATCCCCTTTATCTCTCACTTCTTGCGCAATTGAATTCGCAGGATCGAGGCGCTATCTTGACTTCACTGAGAGCCATCAGCAGAATATCAATGAACCTGGAAGAAAATAATCTTCTTAAAGGTGTACCGGCATCAGCTGTACAAAATATCATCGATTGGACCTTGCTAAATGATGAAGATCTCGCCCATGCTTGTTTGGATTTCCTCTATCAATACACAGCGGTAGTTGAGAACGTGGATTACCTCATCACAGAGGTAAAAGCCGAGCCTCTAGTCAAACAGTTAACGCGACTTCTCATGCACGGCGCTCGCATCATCGAAAAGGAGTTCAATCTTGGCACGCAATACAGAAAGCCTGCACCTTCAGAAGTTGCGCCGATTCCACAAGACCTACTTTTCGAAATCGCCAAGTTTGACGAACCAGAGCGCAGCTCACGCTGGCTGCGTTGTCTTTACGAAGAAGATCCGGATGAGTCCATTACACAAATCGCTTTATGGCACGCTTATCAACAACAGTTTACTTACCTGGCCTCTCAAACATCGAAGCCACTTCTTCCTGCCGCAGATTTCATCAAAAATGTGAGCACGACCTTTGGCGATAAAGCGAATGCCCAAGTTCAAACTGGTCCTGTAACAAAATTCATAATCAAAGGTATTCGATGCCGCAGTGAGCCAGTGGATCTACAAGGGGAGATATATACCAAATGCTTATGGCGCACTCATCTTGGACGACCTTGTGGAGAATTCTTCATGACCCCCGAAGCAGGCTACCAGCATATTCTCAAAACTCATTTCGGAGCCCAGCTTAATGCGGAAAACAAATACCAAAACTCGGCTGCAAATCAACAATATGTGTGTGCATGGGACACATGTTCTCGCTTCCGCTCCTCTCCCGCCACCAAACTTTCTGAAGTTGCTACTCATATCAAGGTACATCTACCTCCTAAGCGCACCCCTGCCAATGAACGCGAATCTCAAGAAATTTCTGGTCCGCCCCCGGCCAAGAAATTCAAACCTTCATATATCGTCCAACCACCTCGCATCAGCTTCAAATACCACTTCACAGCCGTAGATGAACATAACGATGCAGCAGGTATTCCGCTCAGCGCTGTACTCGTTCTCCGAAACTTGGCGAGGAATGTTAGTAAAACTGAAGCAGAGGAGGCTGCTCTCAAGGAGGATGAGGTTTCTTGGGTCGATCGACTGTTCAAGCCGGTGGAGCCAAGGTTGTTTGCGATTTATGCGCATAATAAGATTCTGGTATGCCATCTTCCCTTTCACTTTCTCAATTTCCTTTCAATTTCCTCTCAACGCTTCCTTATCTCTTTCCAACCACCCTCACATGATTATTAAAACAAAATTCAAATAACTTTCGTTCATCCGTATTGACCGTAAGGTCGTGGGGAGACAATTTATATCAATATGATTTTGGTGTTGGCCCTTCAATCTCTATCTTTCCCTCTCGCAAGAAAAGAGTTATTCCCTTATACTAATTCGATGCGATTGATACAGGCAACATACATGACGGATCTTCTGGTAGCAATCAAAGACACACATAATTGAAAAAAGGGGGTCTGATCTGGGATATGGAGTGGGAGAGTGGTAAAATTCGGATTTTCGAGCAACGAGAGAGATATGCATATGCTTTAGATACGCATACACGCAACATGAAATGGTTAAATGACAGACTAATAAAGGAAAGCGGGCGCAAAAACTTCAAGTATGGCGGCTGGGCGTTTATGGTTGGTCAATTTTGCTGGGGGGCAATTATCGCGACGGTGTATGATAGATGCCTGACTGCTTTTACATTATTTTGCGGCTTGCCAACAAAGGTTCAGGCCGGGGAATGAAGAAAGGAAGAAAGGAAGGAAGGAAGGAAGGAAGGAAGGAAGGAATGGAGGAAGGGAGGGAGGGAGGGAGGGAAAAATACGAGATTTACCTTGCTACTACACTACTGATATATAACTGTACTGATAATTGCAATGGGTGATGTACTCGTAAGGATAGTAGAGTAAAATAACTCAAGTATGGATTGTGATTGTGATTGTGCATGAGCCTAACTCATTTGCTAATTACCATATACTCGAGTAAATATCTCGGAATTTTATCAATTACTTATTTACTTACTCATATACTCGAGTATACATACTCTATTTCTGTCATCACTCATTTTGTTCTTCTAGCAAGTTTGGGTTTATAGCTTAGTTTTAATTTTATGAAAGCTTGTTAACTAGAAGAGACTTAGTCTCTTTTCATATGATTCGTGTTCTATTAGAACTAGGGTAAAACCCCTGCGTTCTTCAATAAGAATCATAAGCTTTCGAAGTAAAACCCGCCAAATAGAGCTAAAGATATACACCCAAACTAAGTAGGGTAGGTAGAAGTAAGATCTACAGGGAAGACGCTTGACCTGTGAGAAAACGTTTGCTTAATGCAAAGCGTTTGCGAGCGCTTTGAGAGAAGTAAAGTTTAAAAGAGTCGGAGTTTCAATGTCCCAATGCCTTGATATCGTTTTCGCTAAGATCTAAATCAGAAGCTTGTTGAGTAGCACCTCTACGAATGCTGTAGCCCGTGAAACTGTCAAAACTAGGTACCCCTATTATCTGGAGGCGATGACGAAAGGCAGTCATGAAATTGCTCCTTGAAAAGATCTTAGATTCGAATCTAAACAATGGAGACGAATTGCTTTGTGGGTCAAGAGTCAGAAGGTTGCGAAGAGCTACTACTGGATATAGGATATCATTTGTAGCTGACAAATAAATATCTACTTCTCTTCTTTCCGGATTTGCCTTACTGGAACAAAGGCGAAGGATAGCGTAGGAGTCATTTACAGCAAAGGTAACATCTCTGCGAGTGAGGCCGAACTCCTTGAATGAGTCTAAGTTCTGAAGTTCAGTAGACTCATAAGTGAATTCCTTGCGTCGTAAGAATCCAGCGAAAGCAACCTTCAACACTGTAGTAAGGTTGATGTTATCAATAGAATTAGACAAAGTGAACCTTGTTGGATCAACAACTGAGAGAAGGAGGTTGTATATGAAAAGGATAGCCTGTGATCGTTTTTTATAAGATGAAAGTGCACGAACTCCCATAATAATTCGGTTCTATTAAGGTTGTTTCTGATTAAAAACATTGAGAGAAAGATCTCGATCAACATGAACAGATCGCAAAGTATATATCATTCCTTTCAGTACATCTGCAGAAACTTTGGGATACCCAAGTGCACCAGTACCCCTGTGTGCAATCCATTCACCAACGGAGTTCCTAGTAACAGGAAAGGGGGCTTGATTTGTTCATGTGCAACAGAATGATTCGTAATTGCGTTGATGGGAACTGTATGATTTCCTAGTCCCTGATGAAAGTCCTGCCCACAAGAATTTTGCACACGTGGGGGATATTGCTCCCAAGGAATCTAGCCACTCGGGGGTGGGATCGGTGCTGAAGAGCAACCCTGCTAGTAGGGACACAAGTCAGCAATCCTGCTGGAGTCAAAACGTGATAAGGCATCGGCCAAATCGTTAGTAGACCCAGTAATCCATTGGGAATCGATAATAATATCGAGAGTGCCTGCTAGAATATGGAGTTCTTTCAGGGGTTTGTTGACTAATCCTCTAAGAGTAAACTTAATAATACCAACTACAGTTGAGATGTTATCAGTATAGACGATGACTTTTTTTCTAGCCCAGGAGCCATAGAATATCTGAAAAGCCAGCAATACTGTTGACACTTTGTAAACATTAACATCGAATGGCTGGATAACCTTGAACTGATTGATCTATGAGCAAAATGAGTTATCGATAGAGATTTTAGGTAGGTATTGCTTCCAATGAATATCAGGATCCTTTCCTGAGAGAAAGAAGAATCTTTCTATCCCTAATCCGGAAGTGTCTATAAAGAGATGAATAACTTCTCTGTTAGAGTCGTTTAGAAAGCATATACCATTATGAATAGGAAGTATGAGATTCCACTATAGTATATCCTCTTTTACTTCCAGAGGAATGCGTTTTCTGATGAATCTAAGGTTGCTAGAATCGTCCGGGAATGACCGTAGATAGGCTGCGCAGAAATACTCCGCTACCCGTGGGGACCCGTTGATGATATTTTAGACCCGCGGGGGACCCGTTGAGCTTTCAAAATTATCCGCCCCGCAAATACTCTGCAAATACTTTGCAAATTTATTAATTTTTATAATATTAATGTATTTTTATAATTATACTAATATTATAAATATTATAAAATTTATATCTGCGGAGTATTTGCGGAGTATTTGCAGCGGATACCCAACGGGTCCCCATTCAGATTTTTCTATTATCCGCCCCGCAAACGGAGGACCCGCGGGGGACCCGCCAGGCCAATAATCCGCCCCGCGGGTACCCGTTGCGCAGCCTAACCGTAGATAATTCCAGAGAGAAGTTATATAGACTCTGCCAAGTTGAGTTGCAACGGTTATGAAGTTGAGGAATCCAGCAAGAGATTTAACTTCCTTTTTAGTTATTGAAGAATGCTTTAAAGCTTCAGAGGTAAGACGAGTAGCCTTTTCTATTTTGTTTAAGGGAATATAGACTATAAACTTCATGGTATCGAACCCTATGCCAAGAATAGTTATATTGGTACCTTTCTCACTCTTAGAGGCTTTGTTATCTACACCAAGGATCTAGCAAAGATGATTATAAAGATTTTCTATGCGCTTGACCTCTTCGGGAGAAGTATTGGCTTTCAGGAAAAGTAAGAGATTGTTAAGGTAATGAAGGCACAAAACTAGCAAATAGGATTCGGTAATCCAATATAATCCTTCTGTGAAAAGGTTGAACAAGAATGGGGCTGTTCGCAAGCCGAAGACAAAGACTTGGTCAACATAGGATATTGAATTCCATGTAGTATTGAATAGCCAGTATTGAGACGAAGCTAAAGGGATCTTCCTGAATGCATCACTTTGATCTCTTTTGATGATAATAGTACCGCAGTCGAGCTATCTAATCGTTTTGATTACCTCAGATAGAGTAGTATACTGTAAAGTAGTATATTCGTGAGGGATCCCATCATTAACTGAACGTCCGGGAGGTCAGGAAAGATTTTGAATCTTCCTAAGATCTTCGTCAGGTTTTGGAGCAAAACTGATTGGAGCGCAAAGTAGAGGTCTATTCCCTGTGTAGTGTTTAATTCTTTGAAGAGAAAGATCTTTAGCAATACCCTCAAAGAGTACGTTGCTGTGCTCGAAAGCCGATGGGCTGTTTTTGTATGAAATGGCTTTCTCGGGTCCTTGGTAATCGACGAGACAACTATAGCGTAGCATTTGTACCAGCAGGTGACCGAAGGGATCTGGGTAAGGTGAAAGAAAGCGATGCCATACATCTATGAAAAAGGGGGAAAAGGAATTGACCAAGGGAGGTTGAGTATCATCAAAGAGTTTGAAGACAGATACATTATTAGGATGGGGAGGTGCAGGAACACATGGGTGAGAGAGGATGAACTCATTTAAAGCGTCTATTCTACTAAGAGCAGGAATAGAGCTGAAAATGCAATTGCTCAAACCAATCACTCCTGCACCAACACTTCACTTGTCCTTAGAACCCTTGGTATCTTTCTGATTCTTGCCTACATGAGCCGCCTTCCCACCTTTCCCGTTTGGGTAACGACGTTTACAGTTTGGCTACATGCATCCTTCCTCCGTTTTGGCCTTCTTGCATTCAACACTATCGTTATTCGGATCTTTGTTAAGGGATGAATCAGAATGCGTTTGTTTTTTGTTAAGAGTAAAAGGGGTTTGTAGTCCTAACATCTTTATCGTTTTATCGGGTGTACAAAATTCATTTTTCCACTTATAGGTAAGGTTCTCCCACGTCTTCGAATCTTTTGGATTGATATTGCACACAGAGTTATGAAACGAGAGGGCTAATGGAAGTACTGCTATACGTCAGTCGTAAGTTCTGGCCAACTCTGAAATCGAGCTTTGAAACCTTATAAGAGCTCTTCATAACCCATGATCCTCCTTCCCCCAGAAGTCAACCATGATCATAGTGTAATTGGTGAATCCCTCAATCCAAATGGCACTGTTCTGACCGAAATCCTTCAACGTTTCCTTGGCCTTTTTGTTGATAAGAACTCCATTCTTTATAGCGACGTAATGGATGTCCTCTTCACCGAAAGTCTGTAATTTGCGCAGTTTGAAAAGGTTCTCGGGAACGAACTTGTTTCTTCTAATCTGGTTGACCTGAAGACAAGGAATGCCTGGGTACTTGTCCATAATAAGAAGGGTTTTAGGTAGCAACTCACAAGATTGTTCAATAGTATTAGAAGGTACATTAACTCCATTGCGAATGGTTTCAATTCTTGCAAGACTTTTCTTATTAAGTCTTCTCTCGACAACGTCATAGGCTTTCTTAGCAAACTCCAGCTCTTGCTTAAGGGCGATTTCCTTCAATTTGAACAGAGTAATAGCATCCTCCCTAGCCTGTTCGATTCTAGCATCCGATTCGGCCTTCAAATCGTCCGAGACAGCCTAATCAGATGGTTTAGGAGCCATTTTACGAAAGAAGATCAGATATTTTAATTTATAAAGTAAGATCAGAATGAACATAAACAACTTTTCAAAGATAACGTGACAGATTAATCTCTGAAAACTGACGAATGAGTGATATCTGAACCCTTAGGGATTTGAAGAATGATGGGAATTCTATTCTCTGATATAGCGCTATTCCATAAAGGGAACAGATTATCAAAGAGATCTAGCTTGAAAGGGATAAGGCCTCAAAGGCCTTATGCCCTTTGAGCTACTTTCATTCATTTCCAGAAACACCCTAATATATATTCCTCAAAACTTCACAACTTCATCTCATCTCATCTCATCCATTTAAAAATCTCGTTTATTTAGGTTGTAATTCACCTACCCTACCCTACCCTACCCTACCCTCACTGTAATATAGGTAAGTACTTGGAAATTGAATTGAATTGAATCGAATCGAATCAAATATCTTCTCTTCTCTTCTCTTTGTTCAAAGACTCGATATTAGTTAGTATATGTATGTGCATATGTGCATGTGAATTTAATGCTTTTTGTGGATGTTATATGAGTATATGAGGAGAGTGATGAAGATGGTGATTGATGGAGATGGTGATGGAAATAAGATGAAGGGGTTTTTGGAATAATTTTGGGTGAAAGGGAGGAGAGAGAGAGAGAGAGAGAGAGAGAGAGAGAGAGAGAGAGAGAGAGAGAGAG